TTTGTATTTAAAAATAAATATATTTAAGAAAAGATAAATGAAATAAATAAATAAAATAATTGGGCCAAGGGGTGCCAAGAGCCAGTATGGAGGTTAGTCAGCAAAACAAAAATGAGCTAGGCCCAAAGGGCCCAACGCCTGTCAAACAAAAAAGGAGTCAGAAATGAAAAAAATGTGAAAAAAATGAAAAGGGTACCACTGGGGTTCGAACCCAGGTCCCATAGGTTACAGGCGCGCGCTTCTACCACTGGGATGGCTATACATCTGTTAATACAAATGAAACAATAAATATGTAAGGCAAAACATGTTCTGAAGACTTCATCTTCAACCTCCAGCCAGACCAACTGTAACCTGCTCATTTCTCATCAAAAATGAAAACTATAAACATGAAACTTGTAGCAAATTTTCTCACGATTCCAGAAATGTAAAGTATTAAAACTATAGATCAAAGATAAGCAAGAATTTTAATGGCCCTAATCTGAACCCTAAAAATTTCAGAGATTTCAGTTTCAAAATTCTCTAAGCTCAAGCAAAATTAATGGAAACTATGGACATGGTTAGCTTCAAGGCAATAATATCTACATGTTTTATTCATAAATAAACTATTGATGATGCTTGTATGAAGAGTTTCAAGTTGAGAAAACTTACCTCAAAACTGGAATTCGTGTTTGGAGTTTGAGCTTGTTTCAAGTGATGGTGATGATCAGGTTAGCTTCCTTGAGGTCCTAGGAAGCTAATGCAATGGTTTTCTTGAGTTGAGAGTGGATGAAATGACTTGGAAAAGTCAATGTGCCAAGTTCTGTTTTTGGTTATGGAAGATGGGGTAAATGATGTTACAAAAATGAAACAGGTACAAGGATGAGTTACACTTGATGTAAGGAAGCTTTAGAAACTAAAAGGCCAAGAAACGCACAAGAGAAATGTGAGTTTGAGGTTCAAGGTCAGAAACTGTGCAACAATGGTGTTTTTGTGTAATTTCTGATTTCAGAGAGTTTTGGTATATTTCAGGGTGTTCAAGCTCGTGTTCTAGCTCACAAATAGTGACTCTATTTATAAGCAACAAGTTCGGAATGCTCTAGTTGATCATAATTCAAATTTGCATCCTTAAGCTAAACATGTGATTTTTGGACAAAACAAGTTTCAAAGTCTTTTGTACTTGCTAAGATAGAGTAGTTATGATTTAAACAAGCTTGCTTCTGACTTTGTGGAAGGAGTGTAATCATAGGGAACACGTTAGAGGCTCAATGTAAACTTTATGCAAAAATCTTGCTTTACAAGAATGGCAATGTTACTTTGTGCCATTAATGGAAATGCAACTTGGATAATAGCTCAAATGCTTGGATCAAAGCTCTAATAGTTGTGTAAACATTTAATTATGGAGTGAAAAACAAGTTTGAGGCCTGTAAAGCAAGGATTATGCAACCTAGCATGAATTTGGTTCATGTGTTCATAAAAAATGACTTGTAATTCAAGTGACAAAACCCTAACTTCATCTCTTCGATTCTCCCTACTCAAGAATGATCTCAAGGAGTTCTTGGACATTTTAGAAAGCTTGCAATGTGCTCTAAAACCAATATTTGAATTTATTTTGAAGATTCCTCTTGGAACTATATGAAAAGTACCATGAAGTTGGGTCAAAATCCTAACCAAATTAGGGCAAAATTTCACTAAGTGTTTAGTTTCATGACCCTATGTTCATAAAATTATAACTTGAGACCCATGTATTTTTGGAAGAAGTTGTGTGAAGCAAAGTTGTATATTTCATGGAGATCTACAACTTTAATGTTGGGAGTTTCTCTTGAATCATCTTGCATCATGGTGAAAATTTGGCTCAAAGTTATGAAAAAACATGAAATTTCCAACACTTAGAAAAATTTCTAAGTATAGAAATTTTGACTTTTCAAAATGAAATCTTGACTTTTTGATTTCTTGATAAATAAGTTTCATATTTTGACATGTTTTGATGAATTTTGATCTTTGGTACTTAAATTTGACCAAAAAGTCAAAGTTTGACTTTTCAGTGTACAATTGACTTTTGATCTGTTGACTGCAAAATTTATTTGTCAATCTAATGAACTTGCAATGTTTTGAACCATGTCATTAGGTCAAAATGATGCAATTGGACTCCTGAGATCATGTCTCAAACCAATTAACCATTTGCTAGGTCAAAAATCAAAAATTGCCCTTTCCCAATCAAAACCCTAATTTTGACCATTTTGCCCTTTTAGAGATTTGATCAAATTTCTTGAGGAATTATGGTCCAAACTTGATCAAATGATACATATGAGTTTAAAATGTTGATGTGGATAAAAAATTATGATGTTTGACTGTAAATTGGCCATAGTTGATTTTTTCTCCAATACAACTGATTTTTAGGTCAACTGCTCAATTGACTGATCAAAAGTGTGATCCAAGGTTTGAAATTTGGCATGAGTAATCTTGGGGGTCCATAATAATCCATGTAAGTCATATGAAGTATTGAAAGTTCAATAATCCTTGTGCAAACTCAAACCCCAATTTTGGTCATCAGTGCTTAAGGAGGTGTCTTGAGCTGAGCAAACCCTAATGCAGTCTTTAGTCAATGGAGATCTTGTGAGCAAATTTTTGATAAGTGAGAGAGAAAATTTTGGGGTACAACACACTCTTACACTGCAAAATCCATAGCTGAGTTATTCGTCAAAGAGGTTGTGACATTACATGGAATTCCAAATTCCCCAATTAGTGACAGAGATCCTGTTTTTATTAGCCATTTTTGGATGGAATTATTTAAAATGCAAGGAACCAAGCTTAAGATGAGTTCATCTTATCATCCCGAAATCGACGGTTAGACGAAAGTAATCAATAGGTGTTTGGAGAGTTACTTGAGGTGATTTGCTTCTGACCATCCCAAGACGTGGTCATATTGGATACCGTGGAACGAATTTTGGTACAACACAACTTATCATATCTCTATTGGGAAGTCTCCGTTTGAGGTGGTGTACGAGAGGCAGCCACTAACTCTATTGAAGTTTTTAACTAATGAAACTAAAGTTGCTGTTGTGGCACTTGAGTTGAGAGAGAGAGAGAGAGAGAGAGAGAGAGAGAGAGAGAGAGAGAGAGAGAGAGAGAGAGAGAGAGAGAGAGAGAGAGAGAGAGAGAGAGAGCCTTGAAGCAACTCAAGTTGCATCTGGTGAAAGCTCATGAGCAAATGGCAAGGTATGCCAAGAAAAAAAGAAGAGATTTATGTTTTGGAGTTGGCGAGTGGGTTTTCTTAAAACTCAGGCCTCATAGGCAGCAATCAGTGGTGAAAATAATTAATCAGAAATTGGCTGCTAGATTCTATGGCCCTTTTCAAGTGGAAGAAAAAATTGGAGAAGTCGCATACGAGTTGAAACTTCCAGCTCAGTCAAAAATCCATCTAGTGTTCCACGTATCTTTAATCAAAAGAGCAGTAGGAAACTATCAGGTACAAGGTGAACAACCTAGAGAATTGGAGATAAACGAGGCTGCTGATGTGTATCCTGACAAGATTGTGGGTTCTAGAAATGTTTTGTAAGGAGATATTGAAGTGCGACAAAGCTTGGTCCAATGGAAGAATCAGTCCATGGATGATGTGACATGGGAGGACAGTGAACTTCTAGTTGGGCAATTTCATGAATTCTGCCTTAAGGACAAGGTTGTTTCTAAGGAGGGGAGAGTTGATAGAAACATGGTGAATAGTGTGGGCCTTGAGTATGGGCCTGGGCCAAGGGCGTGGAAGGCTTATACGAGAAAAAATACAAAAGGAAAGGGGAATGATGACGTGGTTAAGAATGTATGAGTAGCATGAGAAAATGATATATTAGGAGTGAGTGGAGGTGGAGAGAAGACAGCTAAGAATTCTGTAATGATTTTGTGGGGTCACCTCTAGGTGATTTGGGAAGAGGCATACGTGCTTCTTAGGGCTGGTATTCCACTATCAATTTATTGCATCGTTTTTCTTTCTCATTTACATGTAATTGTGACTCCTTGATTGAATACAATTGTATTGCTTTTATTCTCTCTTGTCATTTCTTTCACAATATCATATAATCTGCTATAGTACCCTATCCCAGACGCTGTATCAAACACCAAAAAGAAATTACTTCATACTATCAAGATGAAGAAAATATAAACAGAAAAATTTTCAACTTTACCTTGGACCTCTAAAGAAGTTGTTGTCAGCAACTCTTCAATACCACTAAGTTACAAAATGAAGATTTTCAGAGTCAAATACATATCAGACTGGTAGTATGGTAGTATAGAGTTGGTGATATAAATTCAGATATTTAATTATAATTCACCAAAATGGAAGATTTTGCAAAAAGAAGGAATGAAAGTTGGTGAATTCATGAGACAACGGTCCAACAATAAAGAAGCAGAAAAATTGGTAGAAGTTATGGATGACACTTCCTGTGGACAAAAAGGGAAAGGTATAGAGGGAAGAAGTGTAACTGTTATCCGACAATAACTGTGTCACCCAAAAATAAATTACAAGAATCCATTTGGAATGATCCTAAAAAGCTAGGAATATTGGCTTCGGTTGAAATCGAATTTGGGTTGCAGGAATTGATTTTACTTCAATCCCCTAACAACCATTTAGAAAAGAAAACTCGTGTTTGACCCTATTCAAAGTGTGTCAACCCATTGCAACGCGTATCAAAACATATATTAGTAGAAAATATATCATGGTAGCTCAATTTTCATCTTACATGTCACCAAGGAGGATTATGCTGATTATGCCCAACACAGGAAAAGTTCAACATGCATCTAATAAATACAACATTCACATAGCATTCGTTTATATTATACAACACACTTAACCAAATTAAAATGTTGTTGGTACTACAACTGACCAGTTCTATACCATTCCATTGGCAGGGGTCTGTTCTAGAATATGTCAACCATATATATAACTACTAAGAAGTTAAAGTTATGTTTGCCAGATTCTTGCTACATACTCAAGAAATGTTTTTCCTAAACACCCCGAGAAGATCATAGGCCTATGCAGGCACCCAACAGGAGGAAGCATAAACTATTCGGCCCTTCCAACCTTGCAGCATGCTGTTTCCATCTTCAACAAGCATGAAATCACTATGGTACACATCTTTCAACTTGCATCTTAACTTGTTGATGAGTTGTTTATCCAAAGGCAGTTGCCTAAATCCAGCCCTTATGTTCCGAACCTGCCATTGCTTGTATATCTCTGGCCTCTCGACCCTCTCAGAACCTTCACAAGCTATAGTATTCATTACCTCCCGCCCATAGAACTCTTTCTCATACATCAACCTCATTGGATCTTCACTAGCAACATTGATGTCAAGCACATCAAACATTGTAGAGTAATGGAAAAGAGCCTCCTTGAACCGTGTCACGAAGAACGGAGCATTATAGCTCCCATTGACAGTAGTATGTATAAAGATATTGGGTTTTGAGTTCCTAATTAATTTTAAAACAGTATCCCTGGGACTATTCAGCACAACGGTCTCATCAAGTAGATGTTTAAACCGACATATACAATTCGCAACGAGAAGTTCATTTTTCTGTATCTTCAAGTCCTCAATTTTGATGGTTTCCCATTTTTGTGCAATAGCATTGAACTCAAATGGAACATTAAAACGTTCACAATACCTTGCGAGACGAAGCCCTGTCTCCTGAACTCTCTCTGCAGGCCTGAAACCAGGTTGAGGAAGCTCTATCCCTGTCAAGCGCAGCTTAGGAGGCCCACCAGGCCGTTTTGATAGACGATAAATAAGGGCAGGCCATTGGAAGCCGTAACGGATGCCAAAATCTACAATGTGAAGAGTCTCAACTTCCTTGGCTAGATTCAAAATTGTATGGTTTGCAAAAATGATTGCAAGCTTCTTGAATGGACAGGCTGAAATAAACATTTGGTAAGCTTTCACCATGTCAGCGGAAGAGTTTCTTTTGGAGTATGAAGCAGTATAAATCTGAGTGCCTGTGCCAGACAAGCGAGCCTCGAGGGCATTTGCAAAGCAATGAGCCAGCCTCTGAGATCCATCACCAAGTGGAGAAGAATGTTGCCTTATCTGCTTTAACAACTCCTTAGCAGTCACACGATCATCAGAAGAAACCGATTGTGCACACATAATCAACATTGTTCTCAGATCCACAACACCTTTCTTATTACCTTGTTTCTTACCACGACCCTTTCCACCACCAGAATTATTTGCTTCTTCTTTCTGCTGCAAACTCGTGTCTAGTCCATTAGCCTTCGCTTCCTTACTAGCTCCCTCCTTCCCGCACCCTGTGCCCAGCAGCACCTTATCAAATAACTCCGATAGCTCACTGTCATCAATGTAAACAGCTGACTGCTTATTACTTCTCTCGTCTTGTAAATCCGTTTCATCTCCCCGCTCGTGATTCTTCCTCCCCCTCGCCTCAGCAGAAAAATGTTCCCCTTCATTACTCTCTGTCTTAACTACCACCTCCTCCGGAACCGTCCTAAACGAATGAATAAAAGGGTTCTTCTTGCCCAAGTCAATAACCAAGGGATTCACTTTAGGAAGAAACTTATTAGCTTCCTCCACACCCCTCTCAAATTGCAATACAGACTCACTCTTACTCAGCAATTTATCATCAGGAAATCCATCCATAGAACTAGCTTGAAAAACAAAATCAGAAGGAAAACTGGTTCGCAATATGGAAGGCTTGTACTCAGCAGCATCAAAATTCCTCCAATGCGATTCAAACTCAACAGAACTACTACTAGTACCACTAGTACTAGTGGTGGTACCACAATCAGGACTCTCCACATTGTGAAGATTTCGAATAGAAGCAGAAGAAGAAGAAGAAGGGTATGTCTCACCAATGACTTCATAGAAGGATTTCTCAGCAGCTTGTAGAGCCAATGGATCATGAAACATACATGGTTTCTTCTCCATGTCTTCTTCCATGAGCATTTGGTTTATGTAACGCAGAACAGTAGCAGAGAATTCGGTGTCATCCAGAGGTGAATCTTCTTCTGCGGTGGTTATGGCGGAGATTGAAGTGTTGGTTGGATCAGGTGGTGGAAGAAGAAAAAGATCGTCTATGAATCCGAAAGTGTGATCTTCTGTGTCGATTGAGTTGGGGGTTTGGTTGAATTTGAAATTGTTGAAACGAGGATCCATTTCTGAAGAGAGTAACCTGTTTTGTTTATCAATCATCAAGTTTACGTTAGAGTTTATGAAACCCTAGGGTTCAGTGATTTAGGGGTGATTTCGGTTTTGAGGGAATAACAATAAAATGTGAAGATTGGAAGAAAGAAATGAGTTACATAAGAATCATTGATTGGTGTACAAGAGGAGTAGAGATAGAAAAGTGAGATATTTATAAATTTGATTCCGTTTTGGAATGGAGTTAGTGGTAAGAGCATTTAACAAGAGTCACTCGGTCATGGTCACAAAGGTGACAAATCATACAAACATGTGACCCGTAGTCAACTTCAACTTCACTCGGGTGGAAATTTATTTAGCACCTCTTTGGAATTACATCTTCTACTAAAAGCTAGGATTCCAATTTCTTCAAAATTACGGTGGAATTGCATTGGGAAGTGTAACCACGTGGAAATAAGTGTATCTAAATATATACTTAGAGGATTTCTTTTTCTATTTTAGAGTTTTCTACCAAATCACGCGAAATTTTAAAAATATATCTTAAAATCGAAAATATATTTTCAGTATGCATCTTGTCAGATATAAATTATATAAAAAAATTAAGTGCAAATTGAAAATGTATTTTCGGTTGCACCCAAACACACAATGGTGTGGCCTTGTAATCCAAATTCAAGTTAATATAGAAACCATAATGAAAGTTTCAGGTGCAACCGAATATATAATTTCGGTTCGTGTTGAGACTTAAAGGCACACTGTCTTTTCCCCTCTCATTACGGAAACATTTTCAAACACACAACACCCAACCCTCTCAAACTCTATTGTTACAAAATCAAACCACTTCGCAAAAAGCTCATCATGAATCGTCAAGCATCAGTTAACTTAAGTGTTCAACCACATTAAATAAAGAAAAATCATCAATTCTAAGTTGTTTTTAGTTTTTTTAGAGTTTATGTAATTTAAGCTACAAATTATGATTTAAGGTAGAAATTGTGAGTTGTTTAGTGTTTTCAATGTTAGTGAGTCATAAGAAATGTGTTTGAAACTTTTTTTTTTATGATCAATGATCATTATTTTGAGGTCATTTGTGGCTATGCTTCGTCATTGACGAAGCTTTGAAATTGCAGGTCGTACCGGAAATACATTTCCAATTTTCAATTTAACGTTGAAGAAAACCGGAAAGCATTTCCTATTTTAGTTTGTTTCTATTTTCCCCTTAATTTTGAACAATAGTCCTTGTGTTAACGTTTGTTTTATACTTCTACATGAATAATGGCTGAGAGAGCATCTAGGTTGAGGCACGACAGACTTACACAACATGCTTATGTGCAGAAGGAAAAAAGTCAGGCATTCCAGGCTCTTTCTGCCTCTAGACAAGTTATGTCGGATGCGCGTACTACAACCTCGGTCTTCGATGTTCCCGTTTCTACTCCGACTTCATCGTCCTCCCACAGCAAGCGGGATTCTCCAGTTCATCCTTCCCCATCTCTGTCCTCCCGTAGACGCACTTCCTCACTGATGGTATTTGAGGTGGGATAAGCATCTGATTCCCAGCCGACACCAGAGGTCACATAACTGACGCTTGAGGCTCAGCCACAGCCAGCATCTCAGGCACCTGAGTCGGCACCCCAGACATCTCAGGCACCTGAGGTGCCTCAGAGTTTTGGAGGAGGACCATATGATTTATCTTTGTTGCCTCTATATCTGGACCATGTTGTTAGACATATATGGAACAGAGAGGTATGAATTTTGACTTGTTCCTTCTATTACATTTTTATCATGGATTTTTGTTGAATGAATTTTGTCAAACCATGTATGCAGGAACATGATCCGTTGAAGGTCATTAATCATGGGTGGAAGATCAGTAAACTCGAACCCCCTTTTGAGCCATGGTTTGATGAGTTATTGTTGCTTATAGGGTTGAAAGATTTGACCAAGTATGGTTATAGTGTCGTTAATTAGGGTATAATTAATGCTTTTGTTGAGATGTGGCACCATGAGACATTGTCATTCCATCTACCGCGTGGTGAGATGACGATCACACTGGACGGCGTTGTGTCTCTGCTGCATCTTCCGATTAGAGGGACATTTTTAGAACATGACATGATTGACAAAGAGGAGGTGTTGGATATATTGGTAGAGAAATTGGGAGTTACCCTTGAGAGTGCAATGGATGAGTTGGACTTCACCCGTGGTGCCTACGCCAGATATAATTATTTGAAGACGGTGTTCACGAATGAGATAAGGTGTGCACGAGAGACTGATGGTGATCCCGAGCAGGTTACTTTACACTAGAGGTTTGCTATGAGAGCATTACCTTTTATTTCTAGTTGGCACACATATTTTTGTGGACAATAGTGTCACTTACACAGATGTGATGTACCTGGGGTACTTTGATGATTTTGAGCATATTCACCCGTGAAACTAGAGGGTTACTTGTTTGGTGTACTTGTATACGAAGTTGTCTGGAGGATGTAAGTGAAAGACGAAGTAGATGACCGGTAACATCACACTATTTACGGTAATATTTTTTAATCTTTGTGGCATTTTTTTAATTATTGTGATTTCGTTACTAATTAATAATAATTATTATTTCAGGGATGGATCCTAACTCACTTCCCTCGCATCTCGGGTTGGTAACTTGCTTTGGGTTATACTGAAAATAAGTCGCGTGCCACAACATACGATCTGCTCCGAGGGAACCAGACGATAGAGTCGTTCCAGGCGTATATTGATCGATTGTTGCTTGATGACATACACTTCCATTCATACCACGACCATCGTGTCATGATATCATTTGACGATGTTGTGCTGTTTATGGGATGGTTGGATTGCGGGTCACGCAAGACGACTGCTTATATGCCTAAATGTGTCATGCGTCAGTTCGAGTACACCTAGTATATTCCCCGGGATCCTGCTGTATCTGCTCCTCCCTTGGTGAAACGCTTGGATATGGATGCTTTGTTTGATGATTAGGAGAATCATCATGTTCTAGATGAGGCTCGGAGTACCATTGCTCCAAATGAATGGAGCTACGTGGACGATAATATCATATGGTTCTTTAGGATGTCCCATCAATACCTGATACAAGATGCTCCGGGAAACCCACCAAGGCCATCTCATCAGGAGATCTTAGAGGTGCGGCCGATCATGCCACTGATTTTTTGTCGTCGTATCATGGATATTACGCAGGCGGGTATTGATGATGGTTTGTTTCCTAATGACTATAATGTTATAGGTGTTCTGAATGTCATCATGGCGGAGGCTCAGGGGGCTGTGCAGTACAGGAGACAACAGAGGAACGTCGGGAGGGTGACGGGCCAACTCAGAGTCTGCAATACCCAGTAGTCTTTGTTATTGTATATGTATTTTGGTTATCGTTTTTTGATTATATTTAGATAATATTTGGGTTTATCCCCTATATTAACTACATACACCTTTTGTACTGTTTACTGATATTTATTTATATATGTCTTTATTTTATATGTCTTTGTAGTATGTTTAGTTGTATATGTCTTTGTATTCAGTGTGAAATAACGCGCAAAAAAACTTACTGCCAGCATAAGTCTTTTTGATACGCTCTGCACAGAAACCAAAAATACATTTCCAGTTTGCTTTGCAAATGTACTTTCGATTTCTAGTCAAGGTTTAACATAAAAAGGTGCGTACTGGAAATATATTTCCGATTTTAAGGAGAATTTTAGGAATTACGTAGGGTTTTTCCTTTCACTATAGGATGGAAAGAGAAATTCTCTTTATTTATGGCTACTCCTACTACTATACTACTTTTTTTTTGTTTACACTAGCAAAATAACGTCCTCGCGAGTAAATTTATTTAATATGATATATACTTTATTTAGATATGCATGTAATTTTAAAATTAGTTATTTAATTATAAAATAAATAAAGATATTATAAATTAAATTGTATTAAATAATTATAAATAAAAAATCTGTAAAATGGAGAAAATAAAAAAATTTGATACTTGAAAATAAGAATCTCGTGTCTCAAATAAAGGCAATTGCTAATTAAAATAAAATAAGTATTTTGCTGATACTGACCCGTGAAAAAAAGATAAATTTTAATATTTTGAAAAATAAGATTTTTGTGTATCAAATAAAAACAATTGTTAATTAAAATAAAATAAGTATTTTGCTGACAGTGAAGAAAAGATAAATTTTGACATTTGAAAATAAGAATTTAATGTATCAAATAAAGGTAATTTGAATTAAAATAAATTATGTATTTTGTTGATAATGTCCCATGAGAAAAAGAGAAATTTAGACATTTAAAAATAAGAATTTTGTGTCTCAAATTAAAGTAATTTTTCATTAAAATAAAATAGACATTTTGCTGATAGTGACATGCGAGAGAAAAATTTGTTTTTGACATTTGAAAATAAAATTTTTGTATCTCAAATAATGAAAGGTTAATTACACTTTACCCCCTTACAATATGGGTAAATTTTGATTTACCCTCCTGTAAAAAATTAAACACTAAATTTGGGGGTAAATAAAAAACAATAATTTATAGGGGTTGACTTTTGTACTTAGGGGGCAAAAGACATAGAATTTTAACATTTCAAGGGGATGATCAGAATTTTTTTTACCGGGAATAAATCAAAATTCGCCTATATTGCAGAGTGTATTGTTTATTTAACCCAATAATGAAAATATTAATTAAAATAAAATATATATTTTTCTGAAAGTGATTCGTGAGTTAAAAAGTTAGTTGTGTGTATGTCTATTTACTAAATGTCAACATTGTATACATTTATACACTAAAATAATTAATATGATAATCATATAATATATTTATATATTTTAATATAAAAATAATTAAGAGAAAATAAAATAATTAGGCAGAAAAGATAAAATGATGAAATGAAAAGAGAAAGAAATATAAAAGAAAAATGAATTTATTTTGAAAGAAGAATGACACGGTGAATGAATATAATTTAAAAATTGTGAAGTGTGTAAGATGTTTAATAGAGAGAGTGAATGATAGAAATAATTTAA